CCTCAGTACCCCTGCCAAAAATTAAAAAAACAAAACCAGAACTGTTGGGCCAGCCAGGTAGCTCAGTGGATTAAAGTGCCTGCTTAGGCAGACACAGGGACCTGGGGTTTGATCCATGGCATACCGTGCCAGCCTCACCCCCGGGGGGCACTGAGATGGCAATTGAGACTAGGCAGGGTGGCACGTGCCCATAATCCCAGCCCTTGGGAGACTGAAGACAGGAGAATCACCACGAGTCCGATATACATAGTGAGACCCTATAGACCCTGTAGACCTTGTACTAAAAATACATAAAAATAAATAAATAACTTTAGGAAAGTGGTCAAATGAGTAGTGGAAGTCTAAGGTGGGGCAGGTACCTGAAACCCCACAGGAACTGCCTCCCAGAAAGGCAGGCCCGTCAGAAGGGCAATCCAGGTTTCAGGAGAGACTGAATAGGCCTTAGAGGGAAGAGGTGAAGAGGACGCTCAGGACTGACAAGCGGTCCCCAAACTTCTGTCTTTATTTCCTTGAACTGAGGGGAGGCCAGAGCAAGCCCTCACCCAGGAGAAGCCTGTAACAGCCCGGACAGGAGAACTGAGGCACCCTAAGGACCCATCCTGGGCCACCTGGGGAAGCCCTCAGACACAGCCCATTTGTGCTTGTGGCTCAGAAAGCCTGGGCAGAGACCCAGGCCTCTGGCGCAGCTCCTTCCTGCCCGGCAGCTAGCAACACCGCTATTCTGGCAGCTTCATCCAACTGACTCCAGTGTCGGCCCTCTGGTCTCTGCCCTCTCCCTTCACCTGCTCCGTTTTTGATTGAGTTCCTGACTCCAGGCAAGGCATTCTGTTGGAGGAAGGGCCTGGGTGGGGAATCGCAGTGGGTGAGAACATCTGTGGTAGACCGTGTGCTGGCTGCTCATGAAGAGCTCGCCCACACACCTCGCAGGGTGGAGAGCTGCGTGCACTGTGGAAACCTAGCAAGAGGGGCATCGAACAGCAGGAAGCTCCAGGGGGAAGCCCCTTTGTTCCTAATGGGGCAGTTGCATGGAGCAAACGCCCTTCTCCAGGGCAGATGGCAAGAGGAGTAAGCACAGCTTGGGCCAGGCCACAACCTTTCCCATCACTCTAAAAGGGACAGGAGCTGTGCTCTGAGACTCAGTTCTCAGCTGCGCTGTTGGCGTCCCCATAGGTTCTGTGCCTCTCCTAAACACCTCACACAGCTGCACTGGGTGGTCCCTTGTTTGGGTATCCCTTTGCCTGCCTGGCTCTGTTCGCTTCCTCATGTCATCAGCACCAGTATCTGGCAAATCTCCTGTCCCCTGTGGGGGCTGCACTTGCTTTGGCTCCATGCCTTGGGGCCCCATCTGTGTGGAGGACATGGAGAAGGGCTCCTGCAGTCGCAGTGCCGTGTGCTTCAACCCTGGCCCCTTGGGTCTTGGTGTCATAGCTGGGCCACTGCCCAGTGGAGCCACATGGGCACCGGGGAGCACAGTGACCAGGGGACTCACAGGAGCCAAGTTCCAGGAGGGGCTGCCTGGGGAGGAGGTGAGCCCTGATGTGGGGAAACTCACCTTGCACCTTTCTGCTAAGGAAGCTTCTGGAACAAGCTTCTGTGGCGCTTCTGAGGCCCCACGCACGTGCATTCAGGGTGCCCCAGCCCAGCTTCGCATGTGCTCTGCCCCACTGACATTCCATTCTCTTCAGTTCAACAGAGCTGGCGGAGAAAGTCGAGATCATGAACCTCCGTGCTCCAGAAGCGCCAGACTGAAATGTCTAGAACGCACGCTTCTGGTTTTGAAGTACACTGTAAAATCCGTGACAAGCTGCAAGGAGAATTTCGAGGGCCAGCTCCTGCGGCACAGGGGCAACGTCAGGGAGCACAGTGGACACAGGCCAGGTTTCCAGGTGCACCTGCCAGGGGCCCAGGCACGGTGGCCAAGGCCCTGTTGGCCCCACTGCAGGAGCTCAGGTGAGGCCGCCTGAGCTCACAGCCCCGAGGGGAGGGAGTCTCGCAGGACTTGCAGCCAGGCAGCCCCACGGCTTTCGGACGCAGCAAGCCTGCTTCGGGGGAATGAAGCTAAATGCCTGCTTGTCTCCCTCCCGGGAAGTGTGGGCCTCCTTATTACTCTGACTGCCCGGGATATATCTGAGAGGCCTTATCATTACTGTCGTCCTTTCTCCCTCTCTAAGGGCCTTTCTTTCTCTAGCTTAAAAATAGCTGTCATGGGCATCTCTATGACCATCCACCGAGGGCTTCTCTCCTGAGCCAGGCCGCACACCCCGCCCACCCTCATGCCTGCCTCCTAGCCCCACCCTACCACCTTACTGAACAGCCTGCAGGTACCTGGACCACTGCTTTAGAGTGGATCTGAGTGAAGTCAGTCAGTGAAGCAACTTATCTCAATTTTGCTTATTGCTATTTTAAAGGACAGGCCAGAGAAAATGCATGCTGAAGGAAGGAAAACAGCATATGTGTGTGGCTTGATCAAAAATGTGGTGATCAGGGCATGGTGGGGCATACCTCTAATCCCAGCACTTGGAGGCTGAAGCGGGAGGACCACCATGAATGTGAGGCCAGGCTGGGCTAAATGCATTCAAGGCCAGCCTAAACTACATAGTCAAACCTTGTTTCAAAAAAGAAAAATATGGTGTTTAAATTAAAAACATAATGGGGGCCGGGGAGATGGCTCAGTGGAATAAGTGCTTCCCTGGCAAGCGCAAGGGCCTGAGTTCAATCCCTGGCTCCGCCAAAAAAAAAAAAAAAAAAAAAATTAAAAACATATTACAGTAAAAGACACATTGCTAGGGCTGGCCAAATAGCTCAGCAGATTAAAGCACCTGCAAGCAGGCACAGGGGTCAGGGGTTCCATTCCCAGAGACTGCTGTGCCGGCCCTGCCCCCAGGGCACGCTGAAATGGCAATTGAGACTGGGTGTGGTGGTGTACCTGTAATCCCAGCTCTTGGGAGGCTGTAAACAGGAAAATCACTATGAGTCTGATCTAGTAGTAAGACCTTGAACACCCTGTAGACCCTTCCCTAAAATACAAAAAACAAAAACAAAAAAAAGACATATTGCTGTTATTCCCCCCCAAAAAAAAAAATCTTTCCTCAGCACACCTGTAATCCCAGCGCTGGGGAGGCAGAGACAGGAGGATCACTATGAGTCTGAACTGCATAGAGAGACCCTGTACCAAATAAATAAAATATTACAACATACTTGAAGCACACTTACCCAATCATTCTCGCCGTTCTCTGAAGCACTTCTGCAGCCCTTTTCTGTGCCGTTAGTTGCACTGTCATAATTGCCTCAATGTCCTGAATTGATTCCAAACATTTGCTTTTCATGATCTTTTTGATGTGGGGGAAGCATGCTGCATGTGCAGGACCAATAAATGAACAAAGTAGGTGAGGACACACTGGGAGGTTTTTAGACACCTCTTACACTCAGCGGCAGCAGTCGCCATATTTTTGTACCATGTTTTTGTGAGTGGCAAAGACACTTACAAAAAAGGTCGTCCGGCTGGGGGAGGTAGCTCAGCAGCATAAGCACCTGCCTGGCAAGCACAAGGTCCTGAGCTCGATCCCCAGAACCAAAAAAAAAAGGACTTTCTGCAGCTGCTTCAGATCATGGCAAGAAAGGCAGGATGATGTGCCGGAAGTGGGGCGGAGTATTCTGAGGGAGCTGACGATAATGTATCTTGTCCTGTAACGATCTTTTATTAGCACATGTTTCGTGCTAGCAGTACGTGCACTCTACGATCGTCTCGGGGAGTTGGTACCTGTGCAGTCTAGCTTCTCATTTAATCCCCTTCTCCCTCCCTCTCCTTCCTCTTCTAATCCCCTACTCCCCCTAGTGATTTTTGTTGACATTATTAATCTTAGTTCACACTTATGGCATACGATGTCCATGTTTGTTGAGGTTATTAGGATCTTGCACATGTCTTTGCTTTATGAATCCCCCATCCCTACCCCTTTGCCCTCATCCCTGGCTCCCTGGGCCCAACCCGTCTCCTAGTCTCCTAGTCTCCTGGACCCAGCCCATCTTCTATCCTTCCTTTGTTTCTCTGCACGTTTGTGCTTTGCCTCACTCAAGTGAGAGACACCCTCTGGTTTCCAAGCATGTGCATCTGATTTATTTCACTCAACATTGTATTTTCCAGGTGCGTACATTTTCCTGAAAATGTCTCCCATTTGTCCTTCTTTGTAGCTGAGTAGTATTCCACTACATACGGATCCACATTTTCTTTACCCAGTTGTATGTCGAGGGATGCACAGGCTGTCTCTAGGACTCAGCTATTATGACTTGTGCTACTAGAAACCATGGTGTGCGTGGATCCCTGCACTATGGTGTTTTAAGCCATTTGGGGAAGATAAATGTTTTGAATGTAAATGTTCACTGTATATTTAGGCCATCCTTTATGTACTATGCCTGAGAGAGCTCTTGAGGTAGATGCCGCCCATGTGTTAGTGAACTACTGACGCACAGTGTTTCAAAACTAGTGACGGAGAACTAGTTGTTAATTTGCTCTTTATTTCGTGTAAAATTCATGCAAACTTTTAGGATGTTTCAGTCCTTCAAAAAAAAATTTGACAAAGCAGACCATCCAATGAGCCAGGTGGTCCTGGCCAACCCCCAGAGCTCTCTGGGCTAGAGCTTGAGCCTCTCTGGGATCTGGAAGCTGCTCTAGAGCGTCTTTTGAGCTTCTGAGCCAGGTTTTCACGTCCCTGTGATGAAACGAATGACTTTTGTGCAGTGCAGATCTCTCAAGAACCTAAGTCCCTAAGTGTCTGCTTTGGCAAGTGCAGGGACCAGGGTTCGATCCCCAGTCCCCCATGCCGCGCTGACCCCACTCCCGGGGCACACTGAGCTGGTGACTGAGTCCAGGCGTAATCCCAGTGCTGTAATCCCTATAATCCCAGTGCTGGGGAGGCTGAAAACAGGTAGATCGCTAGGAGTCAGAACTGCATAGTGAGACCCTGTACCAAATGCATAAAATGAGAAAAAAAGAATCTAAGTCCTACTAGCCGGAAATAAATGACCAGTCCTTGTGGCACGCTCATCAGGAACGCAAGCATCGTCCTTCTTTTCCCATCGGGCAGCAGCTGTCCTGAATCAGGATCCGCAGACAGGCTGGAAGATAGGAAAGCAGTGGAGAGGGGCCTGCATGTCTCCATCACCACTTCGCCCAGCCACTGTCGCCAGCAGGCCTGGCCCTGCAGTCCCTGCCTGCGCAGCCCGTGAGCTTCCCACTGCGAGCTTCCCACTGCGAGCTGCCAGCACTGGGGCTCAGGCTGCTGCTCCGGGTGTTGGGTTTGCACAGTCTCCCTGCAGCCTGGGAGATGCCGGTGCCGTGGGGGAATAAGACAGTACTTATGGTACGCAGTGAAGTCTGCAGCAAGGTGTGCACACCGAGAAGCTGGGAGCCATCATTCACCTGGAAACACTTTCCTTTCTTCTCCGTATGAGCTGCGGTTCCTGCTCTAGGTGGAGAAAAGATCAAGCGCCTGCGCGCGCGCACACACACACGCACGAGCACATGTATGTCTTCTGACTGTCTCCCTGGAATCTACCAAACCTGTTAGTGGGTAAGCAGGGAGGCCAAAGCCGCGCCCTGTCCCATCCGTGTCCCAGCTCCCCACCCCACCTGCTAGCAGAGGACGGAGTAACAGAAGGAGAGTCCATGCTGGTTGAAGCTTTTGTTCCCGAAACCGCAACTCGCTCTTGCCCCGGCCTGACCAGCAAGGGCCGTGTGACAGCCGGGGTCAGGTTTTCCTTGGCTCTCCACACCTGGCCACTCATCCTCTTTGTTCCCATCCCAGCCTCCCCCGAGCCCAGCCAGGCAGCTCTGTGCAATTCAACTAAATTTATAGGACACTGTGCCACTTGGCGCCGAGCTGAGAGATAGAAAGACGCTGGTCCCTGGCCCGCTGCAAGCTCGGTGACCTTGGGCTTCTCAAGTGACTGTGCTCTTGCTCCACCTTAACAAAACTGAACGATACAAGAAAGACAGCAAGGGACTCAGGCTTACACAAAAACCTCAGCTGCGTATGCAAAGGCTGACAGAAACGTACCTGTATGTTTCAAGTTTGAATAAGACTTCACTCTACCCTAGCTTTCTGAGCCAGGGGTCTTGTTATATTGCCTGCAGTGATCAGCCTGCTTGAAACACCTTTTCAAAGACTGAACAACACAGCAGTCCCCACTATCCATGGCTGAGCTTCCTACTGCCTTGTTTACTGGCAGCCGACTGTGGACTGAAAATATTAAATGGAAAATTCCAGAAATAAACAATTCGTATGTTTCTAAGTAACATATGAATTTTGATTATAGTGTATTATTATGGTTTTGTTATTGTCACTGCTCTCTTACAAGGCTTACTTTCTAAATTAAGCTTTGTCATCAGTGTGCATGTACAGGGAGAAACAATGTGCAGAGAGCTCAGTGCTGTCTGGGCTCTCAGGCATCGCTGGGGTCTTGAAATGGCTCTCCCAGGGATGGGGAGGTTGTGTTCCCAAGTGAACTGGGTGACAGCCTCCATGCTGAGAGTGGAATTTCCATTTTGTTAGCAGCTGGTTCACAAGAAGCTAAGGAGACGCTGTGCTGGGCTTCCTGGAGGGACCTGGTTTCAGCCAGGGAGACTGACACAGGGGAGGACAAGATGGGACAAGGTACAGGGCACAGCGCATAGCCAGGGGCAGGACCAAGGAGGGGAAGAGCACATAGCCAGGGGCAGGACCAAGGAGGGGAAGGGTGGAGGTCAAGGACGTCAGGGCAGGCGGGACAAGGGAACCTGGACAAGAGTAAGTAGCAGAACACAGACCTGGAGAGGGAGGCTGGAGGAGAGGAAAGGTTTGCTTAGGAAGGGTAGCCAACGAGTTCTCACCCCCACACGAGAACGGTAGATGAGGCCATGCCTGATAAAGCCTACCCAGAGAGCTGACACTGGGGACAGTGGTTCCCAGGCCCCTGCAGGGTTCATCACAGAAGCTAACAGATTTGCTTCCTCCGTGCTAGTCAGTGGTGAAGTGCAGATTCCAGCCCGCCTTTGTTTCCTCTCATCATCAACTTCCCGAAGTTTTTCTATGACACGGGTATCTGCGTATGACTATACATCTATGCGTACATATCGGAAAAAGTCAAACAAGCACTGTAACTCCAGAGCCCAGCTTAAGGCACAGAGTATCGCCAACACCGTTGCAGCTCCCGCGTGTCTGGCTCTGACTCTAGCTCCCACCCTTCCAGTCCCTGGCGGTGATGGCGCTGAACTGTGTGCTGTGAGGCCTCTGCCTTTTATGTCCCACTTGTACTTCGCTGTGCAACCTCCACCCGCCCCTCCGGGTCCCTTCTCCACCTTCCCTGCCCCGTGCCCGTAACGCTCACCCCTTCTAGCTGCACTGGGGCGCCCTTGATTCCTGGTTCCCTAAGGAATTTTACCCAAGTGCAGCCACAGTAGCAGACAGGCAAAATGAGGAGCAATTGCTCCTGTGCTCCCTCCCCACGAGCCACCAGACTCCCAGTGGGTCACCCCCAAGCAGCTGTCTCCTCTAGGCCTTGGGATGGTAGAGCTCCCTGAGGGCTTGGTAGCCCTCGGGTGTGCACCAACCCCTGTGGATTTCCCAAGCCAAGAGTTTTTCAACCCCTTTCTTATTATCACTTCATGTCACTAAACAATATCTTTTTAATTTTCCAGGATTTTATTTTTATATACAGATGAAACAGTATTTTTCTTTCCTTTAGTTCATTCCATGTTTGTGATTCACCCATAATGACGTGTGTAGTTATTATTCCTTTGCAGCTATTACTTATTTGTAGCTATTACTGCTATGCAGTATTGTATTGAACGAATATTATTATTTTTTTTTTTATACTAAGAATTGAACTCAGGACTTCACATCTGCTAGGCAGGGGCTGTACTGCTGAGCTATATCCGCAGCTCGGGACATAATCAAAATTTATATAATCATTTCATGGTGATGGCTATTTGCATTGGTTATTCTGTGTTTTGTTTTGAGACAGAGTCGCACTATGTAGGATAGCCTGGTCTTGAACTCACAGAGACACACCTGTCTCAGCCTTCTGAGTTCTGGGATTACAAATGTGTGCCACCATGTCTGGTTTTAGGTAGGTTATTCTGAATAGTAGACACAAAGCTTTCTTGTATGTATGACCTTGTTTAGATTTTTTGTTTACATACAGATAGACATACATATTCATATACAAGACAGAATCTTTGGTGAATATATGTGACAGCAGAATTCTGGGTGGTAAGTCCTGCCCCCTTTTCTCTCTCTCCCAGGAAATGCCAAGTTGTTTAGCATTTTGTACTCATACCCAGAGGTTACAAGAAGGGCCCCACTTTTTTTCTAGTAAATTTGTTATTTTCAGGCTTAAATTCTTATCTATATGACAGGTATGAAAAAAGTACCTCACTGTAGATTGGATTTTTGTTTTGCTTGTTATTGACTGGCTACATGCTTTTTGAACTATTCTTTGGCTATTTGAGCTTTTCCTTTTCTGTGAATGCCTGCATGTGATTGTTTTGTCCACTTCTCAGTGTGTCTCACTTTTTCTTATTGATTCATATTTTCTGAAAACTAGCCTATGGCCACCTAAATATGTTGCAAATATTTTTCCTAGACTGACTTTCTAACACGTTCTGATGAATATCAGTTTAAATTTTTAATATGAAGTATATGAATCATTTCCTTCCCAGTTTCTTTTATTACTTATCTGAGACTTTATGTCCTATCCTGAATTCTATAGTTTCTCTTAAAAGACATTTAAAATTGCATCTTTTACTTTTAAAGTTCCTTTGGGGAGGTATATGGTACAGATCCATTTTATATTTTTATACCAACTTTCCAGCTGCACTTATTCAATGGACTGTCGCCCCCTTTGGCCATTTTTATGCCTTCTCTGTCACACATGTACAGAGGTGTGCTGTGTTTCTAGGTCCTCTTCTCTGTTTCACTGGTATAATCATGTACCCCTGTACTGATAGCACAATTCTAATTTCTATAGTTTAATGACAAGTCTTACATCTGGTGCAGGGTTCGTCTCTTAAAGTATGTTATCCAGTCTTTGCTCTTGGCTTTTTAAAAAAAAAAATTTTTTTTTATTCATTTATTTGGTACAGGGTCTAGCTATGCAGCTCAGACTCCTAGTGATCCTCCTGTCTCAGCTTCCCCAGTGCTGGGATTACAGGCATGCACCACCACACCCAGTTTTGGTGGCTGGCAGAGTATGCCTAGGGTTCCAGGGTCTGCACAGCATGCAGTACTGTGAGTTGAAGCCAGATCCTTGAGTTTGCCAGGCAGATGCTTAGACCACTGAGCTATCTCCCCAGCACTCTTGGCTCTTCCAATTAACAGAAATTTTGTTAATAGTCAGATTCCACAGTGAGCATTAGGAGTAAATGTCAAGGCCAGGGACAAGTGCCTACATGCAGATTAGTGACACTGATGTGACTGTGATAGGCACAGTAGGGTCCAAACTAGCCCAGCTGGTGCCAGGGGGCAGCCCTGTGTGAAGTCCAGGGCCCACAGTCTCTGAAAGGCAGAGCATGACCCCTTGTACAGGAAGGAAGCTCAGCCCAAAGCATGGCTTGTGGCTCTCTCTGCTAGCCTGCTGGCCTGAGGACAACAGGAAAGTACTAACATCTCCTTTGGGGATATTTTAATGGGGACTTGGATATGCTTATTCAGAGAGAAACAGAGATGACAGAGAGAGAAAGAGATTGAGGTAATTCTTGAATTATTAGCATTCATTGTGGTTTTGGCTTTCTTCTAAGAATATAACACATATCAACCGATTTGAATGTACCCACATCCCAAGCCAGCTCCTAAGTATCCATCCAACTCATAATTGATCAGTGGGCATCTCCCTAGAAGGAGCAGATCACCACAGAAAACTGAAGAAGTCCCTTTATATAAGACCTTTGACAACCACTTCTCAGACTGAGCTGTTGGGCATTTTCCTAGGGAATCTTGTTTATGTGATCTGTAAAAATGTAAAGTCGTGTTATGCCATTTGAAAACATGAACAGGTCATGGTAACTACATTTTCTCCGTGAAGACAAGCAGGAAGAATATTCTAGAACAGGCTGCCTGGCTTATCCATTATGTCCTCCACAGAGTGTGAATGAGCAAGAAAGACTTGGACCCCTCCTCTGGGCCAAGAACTCTGTGGTATCAGGTGCCAAGTTCTGGCATCAAGGATTTTCCAGCAAAGAAGGCAGCCAGCCGCCTCAAATCCTTTGTAGAGCAAGACAAGTTATAAATAGATCTATAAATTTTTTTTTTTTTAAACCAGAAGGCAACAGGCTTCACACAGCTACTCTTCCCTTTTGGTTGCCCTCCCTCGCCTTGCCTATGAAATCCCTGCTACCAGGCAGAGCCATCTGCCTGTCAGCCAATCCGCTGCAGCAGCCACCAGAGAGCTGGGATGGAGGCTGGCTTCTATGCCCACTGTGGGTTGTGACCTTGCTTGCGGGAAAGAGTAAATCCTCCTATCTTACCTCTGGCTAATTGGACAGGAGGTAGAGGAGGCAAGAATTTATGGCACAATTTGCCACCTGGTGACTAGAACGCTAATGCATCTCTTGCAGAGAAGCAGGTTCTGGGATTAGGGACGGGCTGAGGAGAAAGAGGGTAAAGCTGAGACCTGCTGGGGGAGCGGGGATTTCTAACCACCAGGATAGACGGCTGGGGGTTTTACTGGCCAAGTTATGCATGGCTTGTGGGAGGCTTGCTGGGGTTGGGGGGAGAGACAGACAGACAGACAGGGAGAGGGAGAGAGACGGAGACAGAGAGACAGAGACAGAGAAGCAGGCAGACTGGCATCAGCTCTCCTAACAGACCCATACAAAGACCTGGCGAGTATTTAGCCCATTTCTCCTCAGGCCTTGTTGCTCACTGGAATCACCTGCAGACCTGTTAAAGCCCAGATTGCTGGGTGCCACTCCCAGTGTTTCTGATTCCATAGGTCCGGGTCTGGCCTGAAAATCTGCCTTTCTTGTAGTGAAACATAATGAGAATATTTCCATGTCAGGTGACACTGATGCTACCAATCTCAGGACCGGATTTTGAAAACCACTGCTTGAGCCCAACTTCCTGATTTCACAAACAGGGAAGCCAGAGCCCAGGTGTTCCTGAAACTATACACCCAGGGTTTGCAGCTGGCTACAGGTTTGAGCCAGAGCAGACCAGAAACTGCCAGACTCCCTTTGCAGTACCTTCCCCACCATGTTAGGCAG